TCTTTCATAGACACCCCATCTCCTGTTTCTTCCTGACTGGTTTCACTGTGTTCTCGAAGCTCTTCTGACACCTCCAAGGAATAGTCACTGCCCTTCTCTCCCTCTGCTTGATGTTTGAGTGGCTGATCCTCTACAACAACACSATCTTTTTCCAAACTCTCTTTTTTGTACCTGGAGCTTTCATCTTTCACAGCCAGCTCTGTACAAGYACCTTCCGTGGGGGAAACCCGGTAGAGCCCACCACCGGGTCTCCACTTGGCCTCCTGGGCAGGTCCACTGCTCACATCCTGCCAGCTTCTCTCAAGGAGTGCTGGCTCTCTCTCATCTCTTTCAAGTGCCTTGYTTAGTTCATTGCCAATCACCACAGGCACTTTGGAGGATACAGTCTTCTCTGAACATCTTTCAATGGCAGCAGATGAATCCAAACTGYAGTGGCCTCTCACATGATCTTGATTTGAAGTACTATCATCTTTGGAAGCTTCTTTGGATTCTTCAGTATCACTGTCACCCAGAAAGCTTTCCAATCTCCTAGAAATAGGTCCCGCATTCAGGAAAGAGGAYTTGGGGCCACTGTTGGGATGTTGCTGTTTCAGCTCCTCACTCCCTTGATTTTCAACTCTCTCCTGGGCAACTGGAAGACTCACTTCTGTATTAAAATTGAAATGGTCCACGACACCGCTGCTGCAATCTGGAGAGGCTGAACCACGTCTCCTCCTGTCCTCGCTTCTTTCACATTTGTTGGGAGAATATCTGTCCACAGAGCTTCGCTGTTTTATATTTCTCTCAAATAGCTTCCTGGTCTCAGAAAATTTTTCTGCCAGAGCAACTTTGTCCAGATCTGCCTCATCATTGCCACGGATGATCTTGTCAGCAGCAGAAGGCACAGACAGTGAATCCACAGGACTGCCGCCGGGGCTACTACTTGTATTAAGAAGATTGTTCTTTTGGACAATAAGGAAAGACGGGCTACCTGGAGAAGGTCCATGATCTGCTGGTGGGGCCCGGCTGATTAATTTGGTCTCAGCAGGGGGACTGCTTTCGCAAGGAGGTGYTGAGGAGGAGCCTCCCATCTGCAGAAACATACTTTTGATCTTGTGCACTCTGTTGCCATAAGTGGCAGCTCTGCCTCGACTGTGTGGATCATTTCCTCCCCCATTGGAAGAGGTGCTCAGCTTCTGCTGAAGGCCTGTTCTGTTGGAAGCATTTTCAGCATTGTTTACTCCATCAAAAGAGCACTTGATAGCGTGGAAGTCGGATTTATATGCGTTTCTGTGYGGAGAAGCACTCCTTAAAGTCCTTTCTCCTTTGCCTTCCGTCTTCATCATTGTCAGAGAGAGCTCCCCGGGCCCCGGAGCGAGCGGGAAGAGGAAAACTCGGTGGCTCCAGCCGCCAGCACCGCCGGGCCAGGTCCTGCTCGGGGCTGAGAGGAGCGCGACCGAGGAGCAGCCTCGGCCTCGCGCGGGAGCGCCGCACCACGGGCCGGCGGAGCCGGGAGTCACTGCGCGCCGCGGGGCAGCGCCCGCACCCGCCGCGGCACCTGCGGGCACACAGAGCCGCGGTGAGCGCGGGCCGCGAGAGACCGCGCGACACCTCCCCGCGGCTGCCCGGGGACGGAGCCCATTGTGTCCGCGGGACAGGACGGCACGGCACGGCACGGGGCGGGAGGCGCCGGCCAGGCCGCTCCCGCCCGGCTCCGGCTCCGGCTCTGGCTC